ATGAGGTATTTGATTTTTTTTTTTTTTTTTCCCCCCCCCCCCGCCACAGGCCCTGTCTCTTATACACATCTAGATGTGTATAAGAGACAGGAGAGAGAGAGAGAGAGGATAATTTGAACCCTTGTGACACCCAACCTCACGCCCGACGCGACGTCCTGATCGAAGTGGGAGTGGGCCTGGAAGTGCGAAAAGGAGGTGTGCCAAGGATTTTAGGAAAGTGGGGGTGGAGTCCCAGGTCGGAACTGAGATCTCCGGTGGCAAGTTTCAGGGATACGAATGCAAGAGGGTAGGCGCAGATCGGAGTCCTGTTTTATGCTTCGGAAAGCAGAGCTACCACCTCCGTTGGTTCCGTCGTCTGGGTCGGACTTGTATCTGGTGCACCGCCGGGACGCTATGGCTATCTTGCTGGCTGGTCACCTGCCACCGTCGAACATCGTAAGTCTTGGAATCCGACGCGGCCGGCCTCAATTGAAGACTGTGCCCGTCGTTCTTCCTCCGAGCGAGTTCGTCGGATGAAGTCGGAGGCTCGGTACTCGTGGTCCTGCAGACACTCTAAGCATGGGGACTGGGGCCAGTAAGGAGCGATTGCGCGGCAGGGGACAATGGTTAGGGAGTGATAGGGTAGGACGCGGTGATAGGGAGGGAATTTGGTCCCAAGGATAATGATTCCGGGCTCCGCGACGATGTGACACGTGTATGGGCTAGGACAACTGGGGTGATGGGGGATACGTCCCAAGGCCTGATCGATGTCCCACTTGCAAACATTTCCGGAGGTTCCGCCCTTGATCGTGCAGACAAACAAGAGTGTTCCCAATATTCCCGGAATTCCTGATCCCTCAAGCACTCGCGGTCAGTGATACGAAAGGGGATTTCAATATTCATACTGCAAGGCGGGGTGGAAAGCCAGCCATTCGGGAAGTTGGGCCAAGTACAGGATTTACAGACATGCGTGTACGTAGCGACCTTCCTCGGTCGGGCCCACACGTGCGTGCACAAGGCCTGTCCTTCAGTCGGGTCGATGAAGGCCAGCAGCTCACAAGGTGGATAATCTATAGTGAGATAAACATCTAATCATCTAGCAAGCTTATTTAATCCATACACAGACAGAAACACACCAAACATCCATGCATCCAGCTTCACACACACACGCAGACAAACGAAAGGAGTCGATGATCCGTATGCAACAATTCTTTGGCCATCGGTCCGGAGATCACACAAGATTTGATCACAGAGGACCAACCAATCAGATTTGCCGATTCAAATAGAAAGAGAAGGGGAGTGGGAGAGACAACCACACATCAGTCTCTGAGAAGAAACAAAGGAAAAATCCGAGATGCCGATCCAAAAAGGACAAGGGGGACTTGCGCCAGATACCAAAGTTACGCAGAAGAATAGTAGAGAAACACCATCACAACACATCTCGTCTCTCGCTCTCTTCTCTCTCTTCACAACATCCCGATGCGGGCAGTCCGTCACCGCGCATCCACACAGAGTTGTCACCCCGCTTGGTCCTAGTATTGCAAGCCAGGTTCGCCCGTGCGCCACAGTCCGTCGCGGCCCCACGTCAACCCCACATACCCAGCACTAGCTCGTCGGATCGCCCAACTCTCTACTCACCTTCTAATTCTTGATCATTAGTCGATCCTCTCGACCGCGCTAACTCCAAAATTCATAGAGAGTGAGTTAATCGCGCTTTTGAAATTTATAGCATGCATGCTTGCGCGAGATACCCGGGGTTGTGCCTGAGTGGGAAGGAAGGAGGAGGAAGGAAGTGCCTACGACTGCATGGCCAGGCCGCGGCGTGGGGGACGTAGCCACACTCCACAAATCGATCCAGTCATGCAAGCGTTCAGGCCAATAGGACAGGGGGAGAAGTATGGGTGGCCAGGGGCGCCACAAAAGATATCAAGAACGAGAGGATTACAGTTGCAATCACGCCCGCCAAAACAAAAATTACAGTTACACGCAAGATTAAGGCGCAGAAAAGTCATAGCACAGATCCTGACGCGGCTAAGCGTGCGCAAGCACGAAGCGCCGTGCAGCAGAAATTGAGATGCGCCCAAATTCCTAATCTAAATCCTAATTGCAAAAAGAAATTCCGAACGAAGCAAATTCCGAGAGCCCACGGGGGCTCGACATCAGTTGAAAATTCAAAAAGATTTTCCCGCGCGACGATCGCGCCAAAATTCCCATTTCCCACAGCAAAACAAGAAAGAAGCTATGGCAAGAGTTATCCGTCGCGCTCGCTAAGGCGCGATCAACTACCAAACGTCGTGGGACTATCCCGGCCTTGATTCCGAAAAACAAGAAAAGCAAGGGCACCCATGCAATCCAACGGGCCATCCCGATTCAACCCCCGAAGTAGCCTTGCGCAGAAAGTTGCGTGGTCGCAGAAAATGGTTCGTCACACCCTCACTGTGAGGGTTCTGGGGCGTCCTCACACTCAACCATCCACATCAATCAAAGATAAAACAACCTGAGAACAACGCACAATCATCGTCAATATCTACAAGCTATCTTGCAGGTGCGAAACAGTCCATGCGATGGTAGGATACCGTCTCTCTCTCTCTCTCTCTCTCTCTCTCTCTCTCTCTCTCTCTCTCTCTCTCTCTCTCTCTCTCTTTCTTTTAATTGTGTTTGGCGTTCCGGTCGACAGTCGAAAAGTACTCTAAGAGGACTGTCCTCGCTATGGGCCTTATGGCATTTCCATCAAAAAGTATGCGGAAGGGCTTGGTTTTGCATCTAGAGGTGTATCAGTAATATCAGTAATGAGGTCTATCCTATGGTGCTGTCCACCGCGTGACTCTGCTTGTGAATTGATCTTTGCAGGATGCCGCAAACTGGGAGGTGGCAGATGCCATGCTGAAGGACTTGTACGTGTATGAAGGGCAGCTGGCCTGGCTGGTTCACCTCATGGGAATGCTGGTCGAGGGCCAGCTCTACCTGACTAGATGCATTGATAACTTGTTTGCCGGCCAATGGTTCGTTGCTCTTTTTTTCCAGAGCTCATATTGCCCCTCATCACTCTTCCACTTGTCTGTACCCCGTACCCCCTCTTCTCTCTCTCTCTCTCTCTCTCCCTCTCCCTCCCTCTCTCTCTCTCTCTCTCTCTCTCTCTCTCTCTCTCTCTCTCTCTCTC